TGGTCTCCTCACACAACCATATCAAAATTATAACTAAAATATAGAACAGCCATTTCTCCAAACTGTCAGAAATCTAGTTGAATAGAAGTCTGACAACTCTGGGATTAAAAAAACCACATCCATCCAGGTTGGTAGGAGGGGCACAGACACGGAACAGGCTGGTCTCTTACCCATGTGTGTGGTGGATGAAAATTCAGGAGGGATATCTTAGTAGCGAGGAGTCCCAGCCCCCCACCCAGGGTTCCAGTGCCAGGAAGATAAGTCCCCCACTTCCAGCTGCAAAAACCGGCGGGGATTGAGTTGGTGGAAGAAACTCCTGGAATCCCAAGCAGTTCTTCTTGAAGAACCCACACATGAACTTACTCAGACTCACTCCCTCTGATCTTCAGTGTGGTAGCAGCTTGAAAGGCACGAGTGGCATACAGAAGGAACTGAAGTGTCTGGCATCAAGGCGAGAACTGGGGGACAGCTTTCTCTCAGATAGGTGGGCAGAACCATTGTCTTTTTCCTGACCCACTCCCCTCAAAGAGCCACAAAGACAGCATGCAGGTGCCAGGGTGCCACATCGGAGACTACATAAACTTGGCTAATACTGTTCGCCCTGCCCTGGAGATCCCCTAAGGTTCCTTGCACCCAACTTATGGCCCACCCAAGCTCTTAACAGTGGCTTTTGCATATGAGTGACTGGGCTTGGCTCATGCTTCACAACTTCCTAAATCTCAAACAAGCAACAGCCAGCCTCAGAGAACCCCGGCCCCCATGTCTTCTGCTAAGTGGCCCTGGGCCTGGCAATAGCAGCAGCCAGCCTAGGTTCACAGCTTGGCTTTGCCTGGGAATCTCCAAGCCCACCTAGCACAAGTAGCAGCTACTTGCAGATTGCTTTATAGCTCATGCTGTGTGGCCTAGGCAGAACACAGTTTGTGGCTGACCTAGGCCTGTACCACCTGGGAAACCCCAGAACCTGCGTACCCACTGGACAGCTACAGACCACGTCAGAGCATCACCACCCTGCCCCTATACAGCTGATCCTCCACAGAGGGTGGAGGTTGGTGGTCAGTGGTCACAGCCAACCCTTGCAGCTGACTGGCCTGGGTAAATCCTTCCCATTGGCCTACCAATAGCAATGAAGGCTCAACTACAAGAGGAACGTGTACTCAGCACACACTCAGTGCTGGGTGCACCTTGAGTTACCCAGCTTGGGTGATAGGGGAGACTGTGCCACTGGACCCTACAGGACACCTACTATGATAGGCCACACTACCAAGACGGAGTCACAGCAGCTCTACCTAATACATGTAAACAAACACAGGGAGGCTGCTACAATTAAGAGACAAAGAAACATGGCCCAAATGAAAGAATAGATCAAAACTCCAGAAAAAGGGCTAAACGAGACGGAGGTAAGCAATCTATCAGATGTAGAGTTCAAAGCACTGGTTATAAGGGTGCTCAAGGAACTTAGTGAGGATCTGAGCAGCATAAAAAAGATCCAGTCAGAAACAAAGGCTACACTAATTGAAATGAAGAACAGTTTACAGGGAAACAGCAGTAGAGTGGATGAAGTTAAGATTCCAATCAATGATTTGGAACATTAAAGAAGCAAAAAAATAATGAATCAGAACAATAAGAACAAAACCCACAAAAAATGAGGATAGAATAAGCAGCCTCGGGGACATCTTCAAGTGTTCCAACATTTGCATCATAGGGGTGCCAGAGGAGAAGAGAAAGAGCAAGAAATTGGAAATTATTTGAAAAAATAATGAAAGAAAACTCCCCCAGTTTGGTGAAGGAAATGGACATACAAGTCCAGGAAGCACAGAGAGTCCCAGACAAGACGGATGCAAAGAAGCCCACTCCAAGATACATCGGAATTAAAATGCCAAAGGTTAAAGCTGAAGAGAGAATCTTGAAAGCAGTTAGTTACCTACAGGGGTGTTCCCATAAGACTGTCAGCTGAATTCCCTAAGAAACTTTGCAGGCTAAAAGAGTTTGGCAAGAAATATTCAAAGTTCTGAAAAGCAGGGACCTCCAGCCAAGATTGTTCTACCCAGCAGAGCTATCACTTAGAATCGAAGGGCAGATAAAAAGTTTCCCAGACAAGAAAAAAAACTGAAGTTCATTACCAAACCATCATTACATATAATGTTGAAGGGACTTATTTAAGGAAAAGATCAAAACTATGAACAATAAAATGGCAATAAATACATATCTATCAACAATCGAATCTAAAAAACAAACTAAGCAAACAAGAACAGAGACAGTCATGGATATGGAGAGAGTTTTGATGGTTGCCAGACGAGAGGGGGATGTGGGGAAATGAGTGAAGACACGAGGGGATTAAGAAGTACAAATAGGTAGTTGCAGAATAGATATGAGGATGTAAAGTACAGTGTAGGAAATGGAGTAGCCAAAGAACTTACATGCATGACCCCTGGGCATGAACAGTGGTTGGGGGATGCTAAGTGGAGGGGGGCAAAAGGGGAAAAATCGGGACAACTTTAATAGCATAATCAAAATATAATTTTAAATAAGAAATAGCCAATGAATGCATAAATAAATGGAACAATTCATGTTTCTGTTTCTAAAAAAAAAATCCGTAAATAAATAAATTAAAAAACAATCTGGCAAAATTGAATTGTTGTTATGTAAATTCCTTTAACATTGGAGCTTTTGGAACTCTTAAGCTACAACAGAGCCAACTAAAGGCTTGTATGAGAAGAGAGAGGGGAACACACAGTTATTTCTTTCTCCCAGTTTGGTGGTTTTAATTTGCACAGAAGACCCCAGTATACAGTATACCCTCTGGCACTTGGGAACATCAGAAGGAGGTCTTGTTCAAGATACAAAGAAAAGAACACAATGATTTAAGATTCCATCAATATTCAAGTGTAAGAATGCAAGTCTGTTGTCAGGCACAGATTAAATGAGTTAAAGGCAGAGCTAGTTCTTTCTCTATGATCTGTATTTTTTTTCTGTATACTGTTATCTTTTATTTGAAGATAGCTTATGCCCTTGTTGGGCAAATAACCCCAGTGCTAAGAGCACAGAGGCTTCAGAGTGAAAAATAGTGACACTAAAATTACTTCCCTTTCTCCCTATGTTGTGATAGTAGTAGAGGTATTGGTTGTAATGTAAGTATATAATGACTCAACGTAGCATTTATGGTGTGCCAAGAAAAAACCAAGTGCTTTACATGTATTAATTTATTTAATCCACACAACAATCTTATGAGATAGATATTACCAGCCTCATTTTACTGATGAGGGATTGAGTGGCAGAGAGGTTAGTAACTGACTACTCCAAGTACAAATAACTAGTAAGTGGCAGGGCTAGGAATTGATCTGAGGCAGCCTGGCGCCAGGATCCTTCCTCCTAACCATTATATTGTACTGTACTTATTTGACACCCATATAAATAAAGGGAAATGTGAGATAAAAAAAATGCTTTTAACATCTTTGTGGGCTCTATGGAACTTATTATTTGTTCATTCAATGCTCCCTGTAGATCAGTGATTACAGAGAGAACATTTAATCTCAAAGCATTCATCCCTACTTTTCAAACTAGTATTTTTAGATCAGTATTTTCCATCTGAGACTTTGCATTTAGAAAAAGTACACTTGAACTTTTTTAGTTGATTTGGCAGATCAAGAGCTTACAGAGAGGATATTGCCTTTGAGTATTTAAACTGTATGGGCTGACCCCCTGAAGCAGTAATTTGGATACATCACAGTGCTTCCACCAGAGTACAGCAGTATTAGGGGTCTGACTTCAAAGTGTGTGTGTGTGTTATTTATTCATTATTAGTGACTTTGTATTTTATATATATTTTTGTAGATAGGCCACTTATTCACAAAGGTAGTCAATCTAATGCAAATTCTAAAAACCTTTCAGAGCCACTTAAATCCCATGATATGTAAGCATTTGAAGAACTATGAGCAATGCAAAATGTTACTTTTCTGGAGACTTGTGATAAGTAGAATAAATAAAACAGCCTGTCTATTTTTAAATGCTTAAAGTTCAGGCCATAGAACCTCTGGTTAATCCTGCAGAATCAGTTTTCATTTGGGCACTGATTTACATACCCATTTAATCTTGAAGTCTAAGCTAATAGCCACTGTAGGTATCTGCTTTTCAAAAGTTTGCGTTAAAGCCACTTCACTTTTATGTAAGACCTACATTAATACTTATTTTTGCTAACCAAAAGTAATCTGAAGAGGATTTTAAATTAATTAAGCGTTTAAATTAATTGTAATTGCTCCTTTGCCTTACACCATTTCGTTTTAGGAAAGGTTTTGTAAAAATAAATGCTCCTCTTTGGATAGTGGGGAAACCTATACCATTTTTGCTAACCGAAAGAAATCCAAAGAGAATTTTTGCCTTTACAAAAAAAGGCAAAAATAGCGTTCAGCGTTTGTTTTGCAGCAAGTTGTTTTAAAGGCTCCTTCCCTGGGAACTACACCCATCATCTCAGTATCAAGCCATCATAGCTTTGAACTGTGTCTGTGAGCATCTGTGATTTATCTCAATTTATTTTGTGCATCCATTAGCAAGATGTATCCTAAGGTATCAGCAAAGTCTAATAGAGCTCGTAAGGGTGTTATGCTTAGTGTAAACCTGGACGTAATTAAGCGTTTCAGTCATGGTGAACAAAGACATTTTACTGCATTCAGTTTGGGGTCTGGGAAAGATCAAAATATTTCTCATAAGCTAATGATCATTGCTTCTTCATTAAGCCCCATTTTATTGTACGAAAAGTTTTGTAGGCATGATGTACTTTGGGATAGTGGGTAAAACCTGTATTTGATAAGAAACCCAGTGTTCTGTGTTCTGCTTCTTTTGTCTTGGGTTTTGTGGACATGGCTTCGTTCTGGTTACATCACAGCTACTCTGGTGCTTTGGGTCAGTCAAGTGTTTGGAGGGAGGAAAAGATCACCATATCCACCCATCAAGTGTACATTTAATGGAGGCTGATGACTTTCTCATGCTAATTTTCTTTCCCTTAGGTTTATGAAGGCCTAGACATCATCACCAACAAGGTTTCTACTCAAGAGCAGAGACTATGCCAGCACCACATGATCAGCTTTGTGGATCCTCTCGTGACAAATTACACAGTGGTGGACTTCAGGAACAAGGCAACTGCTTTGATATCCTTAGGAAAGACAGCGACGAGGCTTGGTGGATGGCAGGGCCGCCCAAGCCAAGAAAGAAGTTTTCTTTCTAATGACAGTTTTGTCTAAGCAGGGACACACATGACCTAACTACCAGTAGGTAGTATCCCATCAGCCCTATGTGGATTGACAGATACAGCGTTCTTGGTACTCAAAGTCTTGTCCTCAGACTGCAACATCAGCGTCCCTTGGGAGCTTGTTAGAAATGCTGACCCTGGGCCTCACTTCATACCTAAGGAATCAGACCTGCATTTACCAAGAGTCCCAGGTGATTCATAATCACATTAAAATTTGAGCAGCACAGTTTTAGTAGAGAGAACATTGACTTAGGAACCAGAAAATCTGTGTTCTAGTCTTAGAGCCACCTCTTTTGACCATGTGAATTTTATTGAGTAAAGTATTCATTCCACTGAGTTTCAGTTTTCCACCCTTAACTAATTTCTAAATATAATGGAGTTCTGGTTAGAATTTCAAAGGGATTACTGGGGTTGTGGGGGATTGAGAAAAAATTGCTCTGGGTAACACCAGAAATTTTTGAAAAGAGAATGATGTATGGGAGACTGCCTTTAATAATCTGGACTGCCAAATATTAAAACACTGAAAATTCATAATTATGATAGCATGACAATTACATATTATACAAACTTATAGCACAGAATAGAAAATTCAGCTACAGATGCAAATGGACATATATATATTGGGTTGGCTAAAAAAGTCCATGTGGTTTTTTTTCCTGTAAAATAAAGACAGTTTTCATTTTCACCAACAACTTTATTGATTTGGATATTTTGAGTACGTGGTCTATCTCCTGTTAGTAGCTTCTAGGGGGTAGAGGCCAGGGCTACTGCTAAACACCTTCCAGTGCATAAGACAGCCCCACAGCAAAGAGTTCGGCAAAAATGTCAGTAGTGCCAAAAAACTTTGCAAATGACTTTTAACATGTTTGCAGTCACAGCACCTGCTCCATATACTGCGCAAATCTTTTTTATGTGTTTCTACCTTTCTTGAAATAATAAAGCATAATACACCAAAAATGTTGCATGTTTTTTTCCATCTTCAACATTAAAATGGCTGCACAAAAATGCACCAGTTTTGATAAATATTTTTTTAAAGGCATGCCGATATGACAGCTCTCACAATACAATCTAACAAAATTGTTTTGAATGAAGTTAAAGACAGCTAAGCACTACTTGAGCCATTGTACAGAAAAATCATAACGGACTTTTTGGCCAACCCAGTATTTAGCTTATTAAGATAGCATTTAAAAACAATGAAGAGTGCTTGCTTCGGCAGCACATACACTGAAATTGGAATGATACGGAGAAGATTATCACGGCCCCTGAGCAAGGATGGCACACAAATTTGTGAAACATTGTGTATTAAAAAAAAAAAAAATAAGGAATAATGCAGTAGTTAACAGTTATTCCTGGGACAGTTAATTGTTTTGGGGAAAAAAATCACATCCTCATTATATATGACATAAATTCAGATTTCAGAGTTAAATATATGTATTTTTAATGAAACTGGGATAAGATGTGGGATAATATGTAATTGAACAATTATGTGGTTTTAGAGTAGGGAGGGGCTTTGTAGATACTCATAAGTTTTTAATGGATTTTTTAAGTTAATTTTTTCATTTTTAGTATATTAAAATACACAGCATAAATTTACCATCTTAACCATCTCTTAAGTGTACAGATTCAGTGGCATTGAATACATTCACGTTGTAGGCACACCCGCGCTCTTGTGAGCATGCCTGTGCCTTTTCCTTCACCCGCTACCTCCCCCCAGATGCGCATTACCTTTGCCTTTCCCTCTCCTAAGCGCAAGGGCTCCTCTTTTGCTTCTGTAACTTGCTTCCTGAGCCTACGCAGCCCAGCTGGCTCACTTTTAGTACCTCTGTGACTGTCTCAATAAACTTCCCCTTCTAAGTTTAAAAAAAAAAAAAATCCACATTGTTGTGCAGCCATCACCACCGTCTGTCTGTGCGACTCAAAGTCTTGTCCTCAGACTGCAACATCAGCGTCCCTTGGGAGCTTGTTAGAAATGCTGACTCTGGGCCTCACTTCACACCTAAGGAATCAGATCTGCATTTAACAAGAGTCCCCGGTGATTCATAATCATTAAAATTTGAGAAGCATAGTTTTAGTGGAAAGAAATTGATTTAGGAACCAGAAAAATCTTGTGTTCTAGTCTTAGAGCCACCTCTTTTGACCATGTGAATGGTAAAGAAAAAAAGCTAATTTTTTTTTTAAAAAGAGGAGAAGGGCTAGAGTTGACTATGTAAGAATTAAGAATTTATTTGTATATCAACCAGAACCTAGGTATCTACCTTAGAGAAACCTTGCCACAGGTACACCATAAGATATGTGGTAGATCTCCTATTAATGGCACTCCTCTTTGCAGCAAAAACATATAAATGCTCAAATTCCTACTTAGAGAAGAATATATATAATTTGCTTTTGTTTATAACAGTTTTTCAATTTCGAACAGTAAAAATGAATAAATTACAGCTATTTGCATCAATCAATGTGGAAGAATCTCAGAAACAAACAAAATTTGAGAAATTATAGAAGGATAAGTGCATGTTGATACCATTTATTATAAAGGCTAAAGCAAGCAAAACTATATATTGTTATATAGTGATTATATAGTCTATAAATTATTTAGGGATTATACATAAGTAATAATGTTAAGGAAAAGCAAGGGAATGATGAAAGACAAAAATCAACCAAAATAACTAATAATGGTTCCCTCAGAGAGAAGGGATGTTGGGTGTTGGGATGAGAATGAATACATGGAAACTTGAAAAGAATTAATAACGCTCCTTATGTTGGATTCGTATTTGTTTTATTAGTGGGTTTCATAATTTACACATACTATAGTGTGTGTGTGTGTGTGTATATATGATATTTTAAAATAAAAAAATGGAAAACAGCCCACTATAAACAAAATTTTAAAACAGACTACACACCAGGGGGAAAATATTTGTAATGTAGGACAGGCAAATTGTTAATATACTTAATATATGAAGAACTCTTATGAATCAATATAAAAACTAAAGATAATGAGTAGTAATTCACAAAAGAAAAAATATAAATGGTGATAAACGTGACAGGGTTCGTCTTTGCTATTAATCAGGGCCATGCAAATCAAGATACTGAGATAATATTTTTTTGCCTATCATATGAGCAGAGATTTAATGTGGGTGATAATTCTTGCCCAACCTGCTTAACAAGTCAGTTGTATTAGATAATGTATATGAAAGCCCTTTGCAAATTAAAACATATCACCAAAGTACAGTATAGGATGATTAGGTTATTCAGAAATTTATAGAAAATGGAGAGCTAATTAAAATTTTCAAAGGGCAGCAACAATAGGGGGTAATTTAATCTGATCATTTACAGGATTGGTGATTTAATGAATTTAGTTAAGAACCTACAATCAATGGCAAAACTGAAACTACCTTAAGATAATCAGTCCTCTTGATTAGGCAGATAAAGGTACTAGATACTGAAGCCCAGAGAGGAGAAAGGTTTTGCCCAGGATCACAGTTGTTTCATCACTTGTGCAAACAAGTTAAACTTTTTACCCTCAGTATCTCCTACCTATTTCTCTCCCTCTTTTTTAACTCTTCCTCTCTTCTGTATTCCACGTTTTAGCCTTCCCTTTCTACTATTTTTGTTCCCCTTCCCTTTCTTAAATACATGTTTGAAGTTTTATTACAACTATTGTGTAACTGTATACTTCCTGTAGTTAAGGAGGGGAATATAGAATTTGTTTATCTTATTTTTTATTAAGATTTTATTTATTTTTAGAGAGAGGGGAAGGGAGAGAGAAAGATGGAAAGAAACATCAATGTGTGAAAGATAAATCAATCGCCAGGGAACCCAGGCATGTGCCCTGACTGGGAATTGATCCAGCAGCCTTTTGGTTTGCAGGCTGGCATTCTATCCATTGAGCCACACCAGCCAGGGCTATATTTTATTTATTGATTTTAGAGAGAGAGGAAAGGAGAGAGAAGCATCAGTTTGTGTTTCCACGTGTGCATATTCATTGTTTGCTTCTTGTTTGTACCCTGACCTGGGATTGAATCTGTGACCTTGGCGTGTGGATGGCACTCTTAATCAGCTGAGCTAGCTGCCAGGACGTTGTTTCTCTTTAAACAAACAAACAAACAAAAACAACCCAAATACATAATATTTCTTATATATGATCCTTGATTGCTAACATTTTTCCACTGCATCCCAACATCTTAAAGGTTAGTGTGCTTCTGTTAGAAAAGAGGTCATCTATATCTGTGCCCACAGACTGGATGGCAAGGAGAAGAAGTGTGTAAATGAGTCTTTGTTTAGGTTGAGTCTGTTTTTATCAATTATCCTCAGAAGCAAAGCCCTTCTTAAAGCAGATAATTATGTGTTCAAAGAGTTCTAAAGAGAAGAATTCAAAGTAGCAAAGATACAAAAACAAGAGTGACTAAAGAAAATTGTAAATTGAATGCTTACTCAATTGAAAAAATATTTCAGGTATTGTGGTTGGGATTTATTTGTATTGTTACATTTAATGCCCATAAGAACCCATGAGGATTTTACAGGTGAGAAAACTGAAGCTCAGACAGGTTGAATAACATGCCCAAGAATTGGAGCTGGTAATTGAAATCTATTTGTCTTTAGAACCAATACTTCTCTGTTTATCTAGTGGAGTCTCAAGTGGCTGAAATGTGCACTACTCCCATATAATGGTGAGGACTGAGTCTTAAGAACCGTGGCATGGAGAACTAGCTTGTATTTTGCCTTAGAAAGTAAAGTAAGACAATGAACATCACTTTGTGGCTCCCTGAGCAGCTGATACTTGATTCTTTGAGAGTCCTTGCGATTGTGCCTATTAAACTGATCTGGAATACCAAGCAAGCTTTGAATTTTAGCAGCAAGGCCTAGAAATAGAAAGTTCTAGAATTGGAAGTAGTTACAATCATTTATGTGTCTCTGGTTTATGCAAGTCCCTCTAGAATTGATAGAAATTATTCTGAGAACTCATGGGAAACTTTTCAATTCATCTTGGTTTCTACCCTTTTTCCTCTGCTCTTCAGACAGGTGAAGGTGGTTTCTTTCTAATAGCCTCCTTTCTGAGTGAGTCAGGATTCTCTTCTGATCTAAATATTGTGGTGTCTTTCTTAATATTCACATTGAAGATATATTTGCCCGAGACAAAATTCCTATTGTCGTGGGAGGAACCAATTATTACATTGAGTCACTGCTCTGGAAAGTTCTTATCAGTACTAAGGTATGTTGAGTTCACATGTATCTCACTGAGGAAATGGGTTCTTTTTTCTTGCCAGCTAATTTTAGTGGGAAAAAGGTTGACTCTTGCCTATTATACTCAGCAACTGTAATTTTCCTACTTAATATTCTGAAGCAAATGCCACCTCCATATGTGAAGTGTGCTCCTCCAGGCAGACCTGAAGGCAGGGGCTGTGTGTGGGAAAAAATGTTCCTCTGTGGATTAATTAGCATCTCCATCCAAGTTAGCAGTTCAGTAGTCTGATTCAGCATTTCCTGGCTGTAACAATCTACACGGGCTGGCCCAAAAAAGACACAGGAATTTATTTACTAAAAATTGTGTATTCTTACATGTTTAAACTTCATTCACCTTCAAAGTACTCTCCATTTGATGCAAATCACCTATTGAGATGTTTTTTTCCACTGCTTACAACAGTTTTTGAACTTGTGAGTTTTGATGCCTTTTACTGCTTCTGCCATTTTTTGTTTCACCTCTTCCACAGCAGGAAAACGTTTCCCTTTGAGGACTTTTTTTACCTGGGGAAACAAGAAAGAAGTCAAGTCGGTGGGGCGGTCAGGTGAACAAGGAGGGTGGGCCACGGGGTCATGTGGTTTTGGTCAAAAACTGCTGAACTCAGCGTGGTATGGGTGGGTGCGCTCCTGAATCACCTATCAGGAAACGGGCAAATACGTTTAAAGTCTTCAAAGATTTTCGTTGCAGCCAAGCGTAGCCTCTCACAGCAACGCCAGCTGGTACACTGATAAAGATGGGTTCGTAGAACACTCACCTAGCAGGGGAAACCTGTACTACAAGGGTCCCACCCTCAGAAGATAATTCCTTTTTTGGTGGGGGGGTCTCCCCTTGTATATGTCAGGGAGATGTCCAATGTTAACTTTTTCTTACAGAGATGATACTGCATAGGGTATTGCAAAATACATTGTGCTAGTCGTTCTGATCCACTGTTTGGTCACACTTGCTGAGAACACTAGACTCTTGAGTATGTTAACATAGACTTGTTAGCCCTGGTACCTGTTCATACTTCTGACAGGGAAGCAGAGTACCTGAGTATTTCTCTAAGCAGTGAGCCCTCCTTTGCGTTTGCTGTGGCCTCATAGCATTACCATAGTGTATTGGAATTTTCTGTTTATCTGTCACTACATGGCAGACCCTTCTGATTCATCCCTATTCTCTATTCCTAACACTTAGCCAAGTGCCTGGCACTTAGACTCTCTCGGTGCCTACTGAATTGTTGAATAAATTTACTTCTAAACCTTCATTTCCTAGCCCCAGAAGATGGGCACTGAGAAAGTGATTGACCGAAAAGCTGAGCTTGAGAAGGAGGATGGCCACGCACTCCACAGACGCCTCAGCCAGGTGGACCCAGAAATGGCTGCCAAGCTGCACCCACATGACAAGCGCAAAGTAGCCAGGTAAGAAAGCTTGTGCCTGCTGACCCGGAGTTCCTGTGGAGCTGGAGGCCGGGCAGTCAGTCCGTGTGCCTGGGTGATGAGAGAGGTTTGGTAATAGGGGTTAGTGGAGATGGAGGTGTTACAGTTTTAAGTTAGGAGGCCCTGAGTTACTGCCACAGCCCAGCTCCCTCAGTAAATAGTTGTACCCTACTGTCTTGTTACATTTAAAATGCGTAATAAAATATAGTTTTCCCCTAGGGCCTGTGTAATTTGCTTCATTTTCTACTTGATCTTTGCTTGTATAACAGTTTTTATATAAATTTTTCTGGCATGCAGTTGGTTTACATTGTGATTTGGGTTTCATAATTGATTGTGCAATGCTGATTTCTGCCCTAGCAGCTTTTCCAGTAGGAGGTAGATTTTATAAACAGTCTCATAGATTAGCTCACCTTTATACATGGAGATTTTTCTTGAAGAACAGAGAGGTGGTGAATGAACTCAGAAGGTCACATTTTCTTAGTTTGTTTTGAAAGTGCTGCCTCGTATGTTAGATATGTTTTTCTGTGTTGGGGTTAATACCATATCCAGCAGAGTAGAGGATCTAAGTATCTACTATGTGGATGATTTTACAGATTACATATTATAGCGACACTTGGTATTGATAGGGATTATGAAGTTTTCTACTCAAGTAAATGTATTCTAGATCACGTTACTGAATTCTTTTTTCATTATTGCTCCCACCCCACCCAGAAGCCTTTTTAGAATTATTTTCCTAATTGTCCTCCCCTCCTCCACACCAATGAAATTTTAATACTGAAGAGTAAGATTTTGGGGGGTATGGGTGCCTTTGCAGGTCCACACATCTTGTAAATAGCTAAGGTGTTTGTTTTGTTTTTTGCCTCTTTGAGGGCAGTATCACATTGGTGATAATACTCTATTTTTTTGTTTTATTTTTCTGATAATGCATAATCTAGGTAAATGAAGTTTATACTTTCTAGTATCCAAACATTTTTTAAAAAACATTTTAGTGGAAGTCTTCCAAAAAATTTTTTGAAAACTCAGGAATATTATGATGAGCAGTCACTTTTATATTGTTTTATGATATGATTGTGGAGCTGGGTCTTTATTCTTCTCTTCCTTTGTCAAGTAGTTTTCTTATCACCATGCCTCCTTTTCTACTTCTAAACTAGTAATGAGTTGAGAATTGTATCTTCGCAAGAGTCAGTTGATTCTAAGCAAGAGCTCTAGAGTCTTTTAGAGAGGATTGGAGGCCCGTTTTTCATCATTCTTTAAGTTTGAGCCTATATTCTACTTTCCATAAAAGTGAGATATCTATCACTATACATTTTTTCCTCGTAGGCCCTCTTGGAATAATCAGTGATACAGAATGACAGGGGGTCTCTACTCTTGTGTTAGGGTTTCAGGAAGTAGAATTGGGTCAGGAAGGGAAAGATCACTTTCAAGCTGATAAGTTGCAATCACTCAGAGTGGTAGAGTATAGATTTGGGAGTTAAATTACCTAGTGCTGCATAACATAGCAGATACTGACAGAGTGGATGGTGGCTTGAGTAAGTATGCGAGTTCTCTTTCCAGTGATCTTTGTACTAGTAGAATACTGAATTAGTCAGAATTTTAGACATATTTAAAAAGAAAGTTGATGAGCTGGCTATACAACATACTTTCCTCCCGTGAGAAAGGCATTCCAGCGAGACTAGACTTGTTGGCCTATAACAAAGTGTCCCAAACAAGGTCTTTTTACTGCCTACCTGAAAGTAAGTCCCATTCTGTGTATGTAAAGAAAGCTTTTGTTTCTGAACCTGTTTAACTGATTTCAGAAAAATTGTGCATTTAGAGAAATAGTATTACTTCTTACTGTACCTAAAGCTTTCTTTAGGACCCCTTTCTGAGTGCCTGTAGAATGTCTTTAGGGCCTTATGCTGTGAAATGAGAATGAGATGTTTTATAATAAATAGCCTGTCTCTTTGAGAGTTAATATTTCCTAATTGTTTTTATGGCTTTACCCCTCCCCCCAAACGACTTAGGAGCTTGCAAGTGTTTGAAGAAACAGGAATCTCTCATAGTGAATTTCTTTATCGTCAACATGCAGAAGAAGGTGGTGGTCCCCTTGGAGGCCCTCTGAGGTTCCCTAACTCTTGCATCCTGTGGCTTCATGCTGACCAGACAGGTAAAAGCCCTTTGAGAGAGATCCTGATTTTATTTGTGTTACCATTATTTGTTGACGTAGTAAAGCACAGTACCATTCCCCTAAGTGTCTATCTGGAAAGGCAGTAAGGGGCAGCCCTCGCACTAGGATGAGATTCCAAGAGTGGAATGAGATGGGGCAGGGGGATGGAAAAGGTATTGCCATCCAGGGAAGATCCGAGGGAGAAAGCTAAAGAGAAGGAGGACTCCTGTGGAAGAGATTGAAGTATCAAGTAATTCTGCTTGGTACCTGGATTTCAGAGGTGAATATGAGACAGTGCCCGATCTAAAGGAACTCTCAGTCTAGTGGAACAACAAATAATGAGATAGATGCTACATTGTGTTAAGTGTTGGGCCAGAAGGTGCTGTGGAGCCACAGAGAAGGGATGATGAGCATTCTGTAGGGGGAGGAGTCAGGGACCAATTTGTAAAGGCGACCTGTGAGCTAGGTCTGGAAAGAAGAGATTATTATGAGGATCGGCAGTATAGTGTAAGAGCATGGTCTCTGAGCCAGACTGACTGAGCTTCACATCCCTGCTCCATCATCTTCCAGCTACATGAGTTTTAAGGCAAGTAGTTTATCTTTCTGTGCTCCTATTTTCTCTCCTGTAAAATGGAGATATGTTAGTACATATCTTGCAGCGTCACTGAGGATTAGTTGAGTTAATAATACGTACAAAATGCTCACATCTAGAGTCCTCAGTAAATGCAAACCTTTTACGGCGATAGAAACAAAGGTTAGTATCATTGCAGGCCAAGAAATAGCAGTGGCAGAGATGGAGAAGAGCATGACTGAAACGGTGAAATTTTATTGTTAAATTAATTTTAATTACATGTTTATAAGAGAAGGTAATGTTTTAATAATGAAATTTTTGTAAATTAAAACATGTCCTACAATTCAGCATAAAGTAATGGTACCTAATCATAATAAGGCTGTGTTTGACCACTGCATCTTAGTGATTGCGACCTCTCACTCTTTGCTCCATTGTCTGGCACGGTAGTTCAAGATATATCTAGAATGGTTTTGGACTAAAGTTCCTTGTTCCTATCTAAGGTGTCATCTGAGAGTTCTTAAATGTGAAGTAACACAAAGTTAAAGAAGAATAAATATGATGGAAAAAAGAAGGGTAAATGAGGGGGTTCTCAGCTGCCTCTAAAGTAAACAGTGGATATAAATAAGAATAAAATATTTGTCCTCCCTAAAAGCTACAGTTGCATGCTTTCTCTTTATGTGATATGTGTTTTAGTCTGGCTGTATTATTTATTTTTTAAAGATTTTATTTATTTTTAGAGGGGAAGGGAGGGAGAAAGAAAGGGAGAAAAACATCGATGTTCAAGAGAAACACCCTTCAGTTGCCTTTCCCATACCCCCAGCTGGGAACCTGGGCCACAACCCAGGCATGAGCCCTGACTAGGAATCAAACCGACAACCTTTTGCTTTGCAGGCCGGCACTCAATCCACTGAGCCACACCAGTCAGGGCTCACTCTGGCTGTTTTTATTGGATCTGCATAGTCTTAAGTGTGACTAAATATAATATGAATTATTGTCTTTAAAGATTTTATTAATTTTTTATAGAGAAGGGAAGGGAGGGAGAAAGAGAGGGAGAGGAACACCAGTGTGTGAGAGAGACATTGATTTGTTGCCTCTCACCAACCGCCCCTCCCCCCGCCTCCCCAAAACCAGTGACCTGGCTTGCAACCCAGGCATGTGCCCTGATGGGGGGAATTGAACCGGCAACCATTCAGTTCATGGGCTGACACTCAATCCACCAGCCAGGGCTAAATATAATATGTATTATTATATAATCTTTGGACTCTGAACACTTTCTTCCATTTGAACAAGTTCTCCTCTTTGTGCAGCCTGACCATTCATCTTGTAAGTGTATAGCAGGCTAATTTGATGGGCTAATTTGATTCAAGTTCTAGATAAGCGCTTGGATAAAAGAGTGGATGACATGCTTGCTGCTGGGCTCTTGGATGAACTAAGAGATTTTCACAGACGCTATAATCAGAAGAAAGTTGCAGAAAATAGGTGAGGATTTGACTTAATTACTTTAACCTACTCTCCATCCCTTGCTTATGGTCAGAAGACCATAAACCTAATACTGGTTTTGAACCACTGGGCCAGGCTGGCGCTTATAATACTGGTTTGGGATCTTTGTTAGCCTTTAATCTGGCATTATTGGCAAGGCTTGTTTGAAGGAGGTTTGGTGTACTTGTTACAGTTGCAGTTGTCTAATCTGTCAGGCATTCCCAGGAGTTAATTTTCAAAGGAAGTAACCTGGCAACTGGTGGGGGTGGTGGAGGAAGAAGTTCAGGGAGGCAACAACTCCTAAGGATCTCAATTTCCTCATCTAAGGGATGGAATGGCTCAGCTAGATCATCTCCAAGGCCCCTGCTAGCTCTCAGATGCAATGGCTCATCAGCTGATGCTCTCCTGTTCCCAGCCAGGACTATCAACATGGTATCTTCCAATCAATTGGCTTCAAGGAATTTCACGAGTACCTGATCACTGAGGGAAAATGCACACCAGAGACTAGTAACCAGCTCCTAAAGAAAGGTGTGAATTTCTCCATCTAACCTAGCTTTGGGCATCCTTGGGTGACCGAGTTCCTGGAAGGTATGGTCTGAGAAAGAGCTGAGGCTAGGAGAGTCCCAAATGGCCTGCAGCTCAGAATTGAGATTTTTTGTCTACCAAGTGTCCCCCAGTGTGCTGCTGTGGCTGTTTCTCTTCTGCTGGGCTGGGTGGTCCTGCCTTTTGGCATGGTGAAAAGTGCTTAGAGGTTCTCATATCTACTTTATCTTTCAGGTATTGAGGCTCTGAAACAAGTGACTAAGAGATATGCCCGGAAGCAAAACCGATGGGTTAAAAACCGTTTTTTAAGCAGTAAGTCTCATTTTTTACTTATCCCCTGGGTCTGTTTTCAGTAGAATATAGATGTCCTTACCTCACCCAGATGATGAGCTTTAGTTTCTGGACCTGACCCAGGTGGGTGTCTATTGCATAAATGATTGTCCAGGGGTATTTTCTTTTGATGTCTCAGAAAACAAATCTTTCCAATGAAGAGTCTGCCTTATGCTTTGATTACATGCATGCTGGCTGCAAACAGGTAAGAGCAAAATAGCAACATCATCTTAGCAGAGTTGATGCCCAAGGTTGATTTTAGCTTCTGATTTTAAAGAGCAATCAAACAAAACTTTAACCAGTAGTGCCTTTGTGTTCAGATATGTGGTGCTTCAAACTGCTTCAACTTTAATTTTAGTTGAACAACACTTTTAAGGAAAAGGAAAAGAAAATCTCATTCATTTGATCTTCAGCACTAAATTTGGTGCTTCATGTTAGTTGTTATTCTTTTCTTTTTGCAGATAAGGAAATGGAGGCTTAAGACAGGTTAAATAACGTGCCAGAAATCCCCCTGCTAATACGCAGGGCCCGACGGGGAAGCCCACATTCTGCTTTCCTCCACTCTTGTTTCCTTCAGCTCTCATGTTAGCCAGACAGCAATTAGTACTGGTCTTGGGTATGGAATTGTGTGCTTATTCAGAGATTAAGCAAGGATGGCCTTGCTGGGTGCTTCAGTTGGTTGGAGCATTGCTCGGGTACGCCAAGGTTGCGGGTTCAGTCCCCAGTCAGGGCACATACAAGAATCAGCCAACGAGTACATAAATAAGTGGAACAACAAATCAGTGTTTCTCTCCCTCTTCCTTTCTCTCTGTCTCTTAAATCGATCAATAAATTTTTTTAAGTAAAAAAAAAATTAAGCATAAGTGAAACCCCAGTTTTATCTTGTGGACACTTTAATGTGCTCCTGAATCCCCTATTTAACTTTTACTTTACTTTCCGTTACAGGTAAGGACAGTGGAGGTCTTCCCCCACTGCTTCTCAGTGCCTCAGAACATAAACACCTTGATTCATATTGTTGACCACCCGATGGCTGAAGTTCTCTCTCCTAGATCTCACTCTTACAGAGCTGTCCATTGTCGTTCTGGTGCCAAAAGGCCCTTTACACTTTCTTCTACTTACCCTGCTTTCTCTACATGTCCTTTTAGATAGAAGTCTGAGTCAGCTGAAATTGAAGTTCACTACTACAAATTTCTAACGCAGCTTCTCTTCTCCCCAGGGCTACAGTTAGTCTGTAACAAAAGAAGGTTTTTGTAATAATTTGGAACTTCCTCCATAGAGCCGCAATAACTCCCCCATCTCCGAGTCAGGAGGGGTTCATGGCACAGTGCATCATATGCCCATTCCTCATTCAGGCGTGCGCCAGCACAGTCCTGGTGCTAGCGTGAAAGGCGCAGCTGCCCTGTAAATCAGGAGCTGTGTGTGATTGGCCAGGGCTGGTCTGCTGGGATATGGTTCTGGCAAGACGCCAGAGGGACTTCCCCACCCCAGCCTGGCCTTGGACTCAAGCCAGGAATAGCAGCTGGGAGCCGAGAACTTGTTGAAAGGTGCTTAGACAGGGCACAGAAGCCCAACAAAGGACTTAGAGGGGAAAGGAAAATATAGAGTGGCCTGGAAACAGGTGCAGAGCTTAGCCAAGGCCAGGTGTGCTGTGGATGCTGCCTGCACCCTCCCAGTCTCACCTTTCCGTGTGGTGGCAGGTGCAGCCCAGCCCACTTTAAGAAGAATCTTATTTGTGGTTGGCACAATCAAAAGGCTGGCACCTGCCAGCCGTTGGCATCCTGAGGACTTTGATGTTTTTGTCCATGGGGCAGTGCTCTTTGCCTTTAGGCAACTGGCTTAACCTAGCTGTGGAAGGCAATTCAGTGTGTCCACAGACTGGAGAAGCTACCAGCAGAGACTAAACATGATTGGCTCAGATGGATGAAATGCCTACAGCTGTACTCTTGGCTACCTCCAGTCTTATATCCATTCGGAAGTACTTCAAGCTTTTAGTTTATTTCCTCCTGTAGTATGCTCTCTTTATACTGTAGTCCACACAGAGGTCATTAGAGCTGTTACTTTATATTGTTTTCTTGACTGACTTGGAAGATCCTACACTTGAGACCTTGGATTATATAGCTAGACTTGTTGGCTGCAGACGAATCAACCTTCTAGGTCTTTCTTGGATTGTATGTAGCTCTTGGGTTCATATTTCTGGTTAGAATGAATGGCATGGTCAGAATGTTAATTCCTTTGGCCCCCACGTTTCCCTCAAGGATTTTGAAGTAGAAGCAGAATAGATTAGGTCTTGGGGCTGACCTCTCACAACTCTTCTTTGTCATCTTTAGGACCCGGTTCCAGTGTCCCTCCAGTGTATGGCTTAGAAGTATCTGATGTCTCCAAGTGGGAGGAGTCTGTTCTTGAGCCTGCTCTTGAAATTGTGCAGAGTTTCATCCAGGTGATTTATTAATCATGGTCCTGTCTATTGTCTGATTTTCAGACAGTTTTCCTTAGCTTACACCTTTGTTGCTTCGTTGAGAACCAAGCTGTCTTTTCCATGGAATGGAGCAGAAGGACTGGCTGCTTTCCGATTCCTGGAGGCTGTGTTTCTCCTTTCACATTCAGAAAGGTTGTTGCTAAAAATCTATTCACGGCCCTCCTGATCTCCAGGATGAGAAAAAGGAATCTTGGGACCGCTCCCCTTAATATCAGAGAATGGTATCCGAGTCTCTTTGAACTGAAAGCTTCCCCGACTCCCCCTTGTTCTTTCAGGGCCGTAAGCCTACTGCTGCTCCAGTCAGGATGCCGTGCAATGAAAGTGAGAACAAGAGAAGTTATCACATGTGTGACCTCTGTGACCGAATCATCATTGGGGACCGCGAATGGGCAGGTAGAGTCTGGGGAGCGCACAGAGCAGTCTGTAAGGGTGGGTCACACTGACTTCATGAAATTTAAGGTTTTTGTGATGTTGAATGCCAGAGTCTGCTTATTTGTAAAGGGAGGGCCAGATTCCTCTGAGAGCCAGTGCTCAAATTTCAGGGATGCCTTGCCGAATTGGACAGTTATCTCAGTATTCTGAATTTCAGAGGAAGATCATATGCCCTCTAGCTTCAGCTAGAGCAGATATTTTATACCGAAGGGTCTACAGTTAACTTTGTAGAGCTCCTTGGCCTTTTGTGATCCTGCCTTATAGGAGTTCCTTGGCTTTTCATGTTTAGACCTTAGTGGGGTGAGGTAGGATTGTAAGGGAAACCAGGCAACTCACCCAAGGAATCAAAACAGCGGGAAGGGAGCAGGAAGTACAGTTACTCTTCTGAGCATCTTCTTCAGAAGTGGTGTCTCTTCAGTGATTTTTAAGGTAATGTGTAGAAATGGTGGTGGTTGCTACAGTGATGAACAGTGTTAAGAGAAGTTTAGTGTTCAACATAGCAAAGTGTGAAAGCAAGACTGTCAGTCACGTATAAAGAAGGTGGATACTGATACTATCTGCTTTTATAAGATACTTCCCACTGACCAAGGATTGGCCCTGCACAAAGGCTCTGTCTCTGTTTTAGAGCCTGGACCTGCCTCTGCCAGAGAGTCGCGCTGCACTGCTGCTGGATTTCTGTGCTCTCCAGTCAAAGCCCGAAGGGCCCTAGCCTCCAAACCTTGAATTTACACAGCATTTAGAAACTTGTTTCAGGCTCACTCCTTTTATGCACAGTCAGGCTACCTAGAGGCTGGAATCCTTCTGTTCAGAGTACTGCTTTGCATGGGATTCTCTTAGAAGTAGAATTTTCTCTCCCCATACCAACCAGTAGAATGATTACTATTAACTGGTAACTCTGGCAAAATGAACTCCATTGTCAGAGACTGGGGACGGCTGTGATTGCCCAAGCAGCAGCAGAAGAAGCCTCGATTGTCATTGGTTTATAATGATGAAAGGGGAAGAGAGAGAAAGTGTCTGATTGTTTTTTCTAAAGGAAACTTAGTGGTTCGATTAGTCCAATGTCCTTCAGGGATAGCCTTAGAGAAGCGACATTTGTGAGCCTTTGTGAGCTCAGCTTGTGTAAGCCCTTCTATCGTGCCATCTGCCAAGTCCCTGCGCCTGTCTTCTGCCGCCGTGCAGAGGCAGTCCAGAGCACCCCCCCCCTTTTCTGCCTTAGGCTCTAGCTAGAGAACAAAGCTGATTTTTTCCCCCAAGTGAACCTTTCTTTGACTTCTGACCTCTTCCTTAATTGTCCTTGCCTCTAAACCCTTAAAAATGATTATTTAAATATATAGAAAACAACTTAATTTAGTTGTCTATTTTTTTAGGTGTTCCCAAGTAAGACTTCCTTGAAAAAAAGAACAGGCTAGTGAAAAGGAGCTTGTGTGAGTTAGTCAGGGGTGGGAACTGTCTACGGAGTAAGGTCAGAAATTGGTATCAGGCAACAACAGTAGCTTTACCGCTTCTGTGGACCCTCAAAAGGGATAGTCAGAAAAGAATGTTTCTTGTTATCTGCCTGGAGCATTGTGTGTTTGGATAATGTGAGCCTTGTGAGTTGGTCTTTGAAATGGCTTATCTGACCCAGGCAGAGGGATGCGGACCAGGAGGGACAACGCATGCAAGCAGGGGAGGGGCGGGATGGGCACCTCTGGGTGCTGCGGCCTGTGGCAGGAGAGGGTGGCTGTCCTGCGGTACAGACAAGGGTTTGGATTCGTGGCTTTTTAGTTGTGTGAGTTGAAGTGTATCTGTAACAGGAAGCCCCATACTGAAAAATTGAGTCAGGAGTCTTGATTCTAGAAATTTGAGCCTCTTTTTGGAGCTATAGGTAAGCTGAGGGATGCACCTGCTGTGTGGTCTTGGACCAAATGTAAGACCTCTGTGAACTTCAGTTTCCTCCTGTATAAAATGAGCGGACTAGTACTGTCTGCAAGATTATTAGGAGGATTAGGTATGTAAAGCAACCTAGCAGGGTGCATTTGATACATGGCAGCTCACTGTGGTTTGCTAGGTAGCAGGCCATATAACTTACTCTCCCTTTAAAATTGCTAAGCAACTAATACCAATACATGTGCTGATCCTGTTAGTGTTAAAGAGAAGGGTTGTGTCACTAATTTTATGTGCTTCTAGGATTAATTCTATAAAATCCTAACGAATTTTTTGTTGTTGTTTTGTTTTGTTTTGTTTTGTTTTAGCACATACAAAATCCAAATCCCACTTGCACCAACTGAAGAAGAGAAGAAGATTGGATTCAGATGCCATCACCACCATAGAAAGTCAGAGTATTTCCCCAGACCGAGACAAAGAACTTAAAGAGAAGGGATCCCCAAGGCAGAATGAAGAGCTGAAATCCAGTGTTTAAGAGACCAGCCCGGGATCTCTGCAAAGGTGGCGCGATCCACTTCAGGAGGGGGCTTGTGTCTGTGTCCCAGTCTGGGCAGAGGGGTGCCATGCAGAACGCTCCCACTGTTTGCTTTCATTCAGTGGCATGGTGTTGAAGTGCGATGCTGTCTGTCATGGAAATAGCAGGTCGCGTCAGCCCCTCCTGTGGCTGATGCGTCCAGAAATGATGCATTCAGAAAGGGTTTTTTCTTTTAACCTTAAAGGTTTTATTTTTAGAAGAGGCACGGATAGCACTATTTTACACTGGAGGATCTTTTTGGTGATGAATATCGGGATTCACTCTGTCCTTTAGAAAACACGTTTTATGTCCCTGACTTTGGCTAAAAATATGTGATTTGCAGACACTTTTATAGATGACTGAAGTGTTTGTGAGCCTCACAAATCAGGAGTTCTGGATGTGCATGGATGGCAGGAAAGAACTGGCCCCAGCGAGATGATTAAGTGAACCAAACCAGTTCTTGAAATTCCAAGGAGAAGTAGAGAATCAGTCCAAGGTGGCTGTGACATGGGATTTGAAAAACTAAAGACTGTGACACTTGTTGAGGTCCTCCTGTGTGATAATGACTATCACTGCTGTCTTTCTATTGAGTTAGGAATGTATATTTTTAATGAAAGTTAAATAAAGGGAAAGTTTGCAAGAACCTCTTTAGTCCTTAAAAAGATACCACATCTAGTTTATATACGATGCGTTTTGTTATCAACAGGTAGCTTTTTCTCAAATTCGAAATTCTTCATATGATCATCCTATTTATTTATTTGGCAAATGTTTATTGGGAGACATCTGGAGCGGGTCTCTATTAGAAATTTAAGTTACCTCCTGTTGACACTCTCTTCCTGGAATGACCTGAGCTGCCAGCAATGTAAAGTATATGTATGTATGCATGTATGTAAAGTTAGGCTTTTTTTTATCCTCACTGGAGGAGGTGCTCACTGATTCTGGAGCGAGGGGAAAGAAGGGAGAGAAAGAAGGAGAGAAACATCGATGTAAGTGAGAAACATCGATTGGTCGCCTCCTACACGCACCACTCACCCTGACTGGGGACCGAACCCGGGCATGCGCCCTGACCAAGAATCAAACCCAGGTTTACAGGTGAGGCTCCCGCCAACTGAGCCTCACCAGACAGGACTAAAGTTAAGCATTTTTAAGTTTATAATTCAGCAATATTAATTACACTCTCAGTGTTGTGCAATCATTACCACTATTTCCAAAACATTTTCATCACCCCAAACAGAAACTCTGTACCAATTAAGCAATAACTCCCCTCTCAAGTAGTACTTTATTTGTTCAGAGTCTACTATATATAAGATTCCCTGAACTAGGGAATAGGGAATACAGAGATAAAATGAGATGTGGTTCTTGCTTTTATTTATGAATACCATATATATACACAGACAACCAACCTGTGTAAGAGAATACCAAAGGCCATAGGAGCCGTGCGGAATTTCACTTTGGAGGGGAGGGGAAGGGATCGTGGAAGAAGGAGCATTTCTGCTGGACCTTAAAAAGCACATTCTTGGTGAATGTCTTGTTAGCTGTGCGTATAAGGAGAGGGTAAAGGGAAAGAACTATCAAACCTGATTGACCTTTTAAACAGCACTTATTTCCAGAGCCTCGGTCTCCTTTTTTTTTTTTTTCCCCTAACATTTTTAAGGTTTTTTTCGTATATTTTTTTTACATATTCAGAAATCAAAATGATATAAGAAGATTTGAGAAAATATTTCGCTCCCACCTTCACTTTCTTCTTCCCTGTAGATAAACACTTAATAGTTTCTTACATATCTTATGAGTTTGAAATTTTTTATTATTATTTTTTATCCTCACCCAAAGACATTTTTTCATTGCTTTCAGTGAGAGGGAAAGGGAGAGGGAGAAACATCGATGCATGAGAGAAGCATCAATATGGTTGTGGATCACACATGCCTGGACTGGGGATCGAACCCACAACCTGGGTATGCGCTCTGACCAGCAATCGCACACACAACCTTTTGGCTATGGGACAATGCTCCAACCAACTGAGCCACACTGGCCAGGGCAAGAGTTTTTAAGCAAAACTTAAAAAAATACATACATTTTTATTTTTTCTCTTACCCAAAAATAGCATATAGCACATACTGTCTTCATCTGTCACCTTACCTATTGGCGATACCTGGGTATGCATGGATTCCTCCTGCCTCCCCTGTCAGGTCTCCTGTTTTTGGCCCTGACCGCTGCCCTTGGGCCCCCCGGTATACTTGCTTTCATGTACTGAACTTTATTCAGATGCCAGAGTTTAGGCCAAAACCAGACTCCAAGCAATTCCTAAGCTATAGCCAGTCCATTCATTCAGCCAGTAAATATGTTAGAACTTAAACGTGCCATACGCTGTGGTAGACTATGGGAATACAGTGGTGATCAAAAAGTCCGCATTGATCAAATACAGAATTACAGCCGTGATATTGGCGGCAAAGAAAGGACATTTGCTGTAAGAGCAGATAGCATGGGGACCTGCATGACTCATCCTGGTGTATGGGAGTATACGCAGGTGCTGGGGGAGACGTGTGTCAAGACTCCTGATAGGGCACAGCATGGTGCTGGGGCCGGAGTCTGGGGCCAGGACTGCAGGTATGTACCATGTGATCTGGAAGGCAGGGTTTTTCAACTTGACTTCAGTGGCTTCTCTTCCAGTCTGTGGGTTGTCTTGGGCCCCTTGAGTTTTATTGAGCCTTAACCCTCTTTAACCAATATGAATCTCAAGAGTAAATTTTTCTCTGGTCAAACAAGAAATTAGCATTGTATCCATCCCATGTCTTTTATACATTACACATGGTATAATTTTCCTTGCCCTGGCTGGTGTGGCTCGGTTGGAGCATCATCCCATAATCAAAAGGTTGCGAGTTCGATCCCCAGTAGCGCTGCATAGTTTCCCATTCTGATGCTTGCAGGAGGCTGCCAGTCAATGTTTTTCTCTCCCCCGCTTCCTCTCTTCCTCTCTCAAAAAGCAGTGAAAAAATGTCCTTGGGTGAGGATTAAAAACAAAATTTTTAAAACATGAGATAATTTTCCCAATCAGTTTATTAACTATTTCAGGGAAGCCACATCTTCCATTGGAATTGGAGATGTAACTAACTCACTATGAGTCAAGCAGGACCAGCACTTTATATACATATTCTCTCGCTCAGCCCTGGGAGGGAGATGATGTTTCTATTCCTGTTAACCAACAGGGAAACGGGCTCAGCAAAGGCGTTTAAGCTAGTAAGGCAGGGCTGGCATGGAGGTGAAGCTGGCAGACTTTAGCGCTCAGGCTGTTGAGCACTGTGTTAAGCTGGCTGTTTTCAGGCAGGAACCTTAGTCTTTCTGAAATGCTCTTCCCTCAAGTTGCTAAATGTATTTTAAAGCTTAAAAAGTTTCAGTGGACAAGCAGGAAAAACTAGTTTTAATAATCCTACCTCAAAAAGCCTTTAATCCTTCCATCTGAAATACCTGGAGCAGCAGCTTCCCATTGAATTCATTACTCACTCTCTCTGACAGCAATTTTCAAACTTTTTCATCTCATGGCACACATAAAACTAATTACTGAAATTTTGTGGCATACCAAAAGTATGCTTTCTGCCAATCTGACAACAACAACAAAAAAATAGGTGTAATTTTGATTCATTCACACCAGATGGCTATTGTGTCGGCCGTTCTTGCTTTTCATTTGATAATCGAAGGGAAAAAAAGAGGTCAGCGCCCCGACTACATAGTCAGGTATTGCATGTTTTAAAAATTCTTGTGGCGCACCATTTGAAAATTGCCGCTTTTGGCAAGTGGAAATCAGGAATTTCTTAGGAGAAAAAAAACAAAGTGCCTAACACTAAGGAAGCACCTACAAAGTTAAATACACTGTGGTTGTGCCCAGTGCCCCTATTTTTCGAAATCATAAATTCAGCAAGATGGAATTTCTCCACCAGCAGCAGAGTCTGGGGAAGGCAGAACAGGAGAAATCAGCGTGGTGCCCTGGTCTGAGGCACTGCGCTGAGGTAGGTTTTCCCTTCTCTGCCTGCTGCCCTCTGAATGACTTTGCTGTTGAGTGTACGGAAAGGAGGTAGTTCTTGATAGTGATTGTCATAAATGTAGAGACGGAAGGAGGCATATCATACCACCTTCTTGTGCAGATGGGGAGACAGGCCCAAACCATGAGTCACAAAGCAAGTTGTGACAAGGTCAGGACAGACCTCTCACTGAACTAAATCTCACAGCGAATGTCATTTGAGAGTGGGGAAGGACCACAGAGACCAGCTTCGGGCTATTCAACCTGGAGTGAAGAGGAGGAGCACCGCCCGGAACCCCCGGCCTTAGCCAATCCCCAGACACGTCCAGGTACCCAGCATCTAAATGGCTTTGGTAATTAATTCCAACACTTAGCAAGCTATTAGGTTCATGTACCTCTGTCAGTAAAATCTTTTCCCTCCAGTTTTATTGATATATACTTGATATAAAGTAAAAATGTTGATAGGCTTTACACATTATAATTCAGACAATGCTGTTCTAAGCAATTAGAAAATACTTTGAAAAGAGCTGGATTGAGTCTTTAAAATGTTTTGCTTAATTTGTAGAGCTAAGCAAGAGAATAGTGGATCTATAGGTACATGGTTTGATCCTTTGTAACTCGTGAGTAATTATTTGTATTTTTTGCCTCAGTTTCACATTCTATAAAGAGGGTTTTCTTGCTTAAAACACAGCACAACATTAAAAACAAAGACAACACTCAGTAGGTAGCAAACTTTTATAAATGGAGGAACCTGTCTGTATATCCCCAGCATCTAGAAAGTCAAATATGTATTGAATTAATTGCATGAAAGTATAAAGACTAAGTGGGTCTCTCCATAAATGATCTGTTTCAATTGTTAAATAGCCTTTAACCAGGATGAAGAAATCTTGGGATTGTAGCCACAGGAAGGAATTTCATTATTTGATTATCACATACTTGGAAGGTTAGGGCTATTTTCTAAAAAGATGGTTAACTGGTCATTTGTAAAGCTATTTTGAATACACACAAAGGAAGTTGCATGATTGTATTAGGGTAAATGCTAAGCTGCTCTAACAGACTCAACAATACAGTGGCTTAAAGAACAAAGACGTTTGTTTCTCACGTAACAAATCTGAGAGGAGTTAACATTTCTGAAGTGAGCAGTCCAGGTCAGTGGGGCAGCTTTGCTCCAAGCGGTCATTCAGGGACACAGGTTCCTTATATCATGTTGCCTCTCCAATCTCTGGGGGGCATTGTCATCACCCGCATGGTTGAAGCTGGGTCATCACTGGTTCCAGCCAGTGGGAAGCAGGCAAAGCACAGAGGAAGCACACCTGATGCCTTACAGCCTGGACCCTGGGTACTTCTCACTTTCCATTGGCAAGAATTGAGTCATGGCCGCACCTACCTGCAAAGGAGGCTGAGAAATGTAGTCGAGGCATGTGCCAAGAAAGAATGGGAGAACAGATTTTGGTGAGCAACTTGCAGTCTCCACTAAATTAGTAACGGGGAGTTCCAGTCTGGTTTAACTAATTAGCTCTGATGGTTTGCTAGGGGCAAATCTTGCCACATTTGTGAAATCAGTGAGTCGTGTGAGCTGACCTCTGAAATGTCTCAAAAAGTACAGCTTGACAAAATCTTGCCTGGTAAGCTTTTAAGATGAGAATTTAAGGGACACCATAGGGAATGTGAGACTGAAGGAGACTTAGGGCTAATGTTAACACTCTTAAGGTGGTATGGAGGAAAGAAAGGAGGTGTTTTGGTGGTGGTGTGGATAACTGGACAAGGGCCTACC